TCAGAGCGGCCCTGGAGCACCCCAGAGGTGAGACAGTCACATGCCCATGTGGCAAGGGCATGCAGAGCCAGGCCAGTGGGGCCACGGGTTCCAGAGCAGCCGGGCTCAGGAGTGAAGGCACCAGGGCCTTTCCTGCCACACCAGTTCCCTGTCACAGGTTGACACTTGCTCTCCCAAGCAGAATCCCCTGAGAGCTGCCCTCACCACTTCAGAGGGACCTGAAACCCCCTACTACATGCCAGACCCCACCGCTGGGAGGACCAAACCACCCACAACACGCAATCTGTGAGGGCTCATTCACCAGCAGGCTCTCACACGGGGCGGTCCCACTGCTTCACAGGGGAGCAGGTGGATTAGCACAGCCGTGGGCGCCTCTCCCTGTCCTTGCATGGGCTCTGTGAGTGGACGGGAGGGGCCACAAGGGTGAAAGGGCTGGGGGCTGAGTCCAAGCCAGGTCTACAGCCTCTCCTCATGTGGAGGAACCTGGGGGGCATGGGAGGAGCTTGAGCCTCCTGGGACCTGAGCCCTTGTCCACAGCTGCCTCCAGAAACAAGAATGCATGGGCAGGACAGTACCCTAACAGGCCCTGCCAAGACAAGCTGGGTGACCACTTGTGGTCAGGTCTGGCAAAAACTCACCACTGGCAGAGGGCTAGTACTGGGAGCCTTAAGATGCCCCAGGCCCTTTGCCCTGTGCCCCTGTGTGGGCAGGCAGAGCACGAGCCTCCGTGAGGAGCAGGGCCCAAGGCAGGGATGGCCCCTGGTGTCCAGCAGGCTGGCCTGAGCACTGAGAGCCGAGGAGACTCCAGCAGGGTCTGCCACTAGCACAAATGAGATGCCAGGAGATGCCACCACCCATCACGGGCATCAGAAACATGTCTTGGTGGCCTTTTGGTCACCCTATGTGGACCCAGCCTGGGAAGGGAGCAGCTCATGACCTCTGTGCCCATGAGGACTGAAGGCAGGGGAAAGTCCAGAGACTGGGTGGCAGGGCAGACTCAGGAAGGACTGGCTGAATTCCTGGGCCAGGCAGAGCTGTGCCACGGTCAGCTCTCTCTGCACTTGGGCGAGCCCCAGCTCCACTCCCCTGACCTTCAGGGGTAAAATCCAGCCTACCAGGATCTCAGGGTCGAGTCCCACTCTGAGGGTCACAGCACCCACGTTGCCTGCCCACTAACTTCTGAACTCCTGCTGGCATGAACTGCTGGGGGCTGTGGCTGCTGGGGTGTGCATCTTAGTTTCTGAGCCATCTCAAGAGCCCGTGTGCTAAAGGCTGGGTCTCCAACGCCTGAACTGCATGACCTGTGGGGTGGGAGGTGGGCTCTGGAGGTGGGGTCTCTGGGAAGGGGCTGGAGGGGGTATACGATGCTGGGGAGAAGCCCCCAGGATGGGACCTGGTGGTTTTCACGGTGAGACCACATATACATCCCCCAGGACATCCCCTTTGCTCTGCCAGACACACGCCCGGCCCTAGACTAAGCTTGCTAAACCAGGAGCAAAACGAACCTTCTTCCCCCGGAAGAGGCGCCTCCCCAGGGTTTGTTAGGTTAACAAAAGCTGACTAACATAGCAGCCAGCCACGCGGACACAGCCAAAGGTCATTGCAAAATGGACAGAGGAACAGGAAAAGACAGTTTCTTGGTGGTGGCAATGTTAAGCTCCCAGGTCACTCTCCCTGACCTCAGGCCTCGGCATCTCCCACCAGGACTCCAGCAACATGTGACCTGGGGGCCTAAGGGACACAGGAGGACCCCCAGACAGTATCCATCCCATCCATGTGGCTGCTCCGCTTCTGCTCCAGCTCCATGTCCAGGAAAGCAGTGGTTAGCCAAAGTCCTTGGGCAAAGGACTCTTGTGGGAAATCTGGAAGATCCTGGCCCTGGCTTTGAACTAGCCCAACTTCAGCCATTGTTGCCATTTAGGGAGCACAGCAGTGGATGGAGGATCTCTCTCTTCCTCTCTCCCCCCTCTCTCTGTCACCTGTAACTCTGCCTTTCAATACTGAATTTCTGGAAAACAACAGCAGCGACCCGAACTCAGGATTTTGCCATTCTGTTGACTGGAAGTCACACCTGGTTCCCTCTGGATTAGATTCAGAGTGCTGGCAGAGCAGGCTCATCGTGGGAGGCCCCAAGAGAGAATTTCCTGTGTTTTCCAGCTTCTAGAGGTTGTCTGAATTCCTTGGCTCGTGGCCTCTTCCCTGCCGTGTGAAACAAGCAGAGCATTGTGCCATGTTGCTTTCTCTCCCTACCACCCCTTCCTGCCTCTCCCGCCCTCAGCGGACTCAGGCTCTGGAACAGGAGGATGCGGTGAGCTACCCGCCCCTCTTTGCTTTTCCCTATCACAATCCTAATGCCTGGCCCAGAGCAAGATCTGCAATCCATGGCTCCACATCTGGTGAACAAAGGAAGCCCAAGAACACAGAACAACTGTGGGCTCTGCCATGCAGTGAAGGGCTCCCCACCTCCCATGGAACCCTCAGACGCCAAGAGGTGGGAGCTGAAGGCCGACTGGCTACAGTGTCCCACCTGGGCTGCTAACCGTGCAGCAGCCTGTGGCCACCGAAGACGCCATGGACCAGGGGCCGGGAAGGAGGATGCAGTAGAGGGGTCAAGTGAAAATCTGGGAGCAGGACATGCGTGTTGCCCTAGGAGACCACCCCCTCCGCATCCAGCATGGGAGCCGGAGGCAGAGCCTGTGCCAGGAAGCTGAGCTGGGAGGCACCTGCTGGGCTTGTCAACAGGCTTCAGGGTCAAGCTCTGAGTTAGGGAGCAGAGAGGGAGGTCATGCTGAGCCTTGGCCAGCTGAGCACCAGCTGCTGAGCAGCCCGAGGTGAGGCTGGCCACCCCTGGTCCTAAAGGAGCAGATGGTTGATGCTGAAATCAGGTGTCACACTCAGGATGCCGCGGGAGGGGCTCCCCAGGCAACCGGCCAGCCGATTCCAACACTTGGATGCTTGTTCCTTCTCATCTCCATCTGCCCAGGGACCTGGTTCAAATCCTCCTCTCATCTGGGACATCCCGAGTGTCCCATGCTACATGCCCTGTTTCCCTTGGGTCTGGCCCACACATCCACATGTGCCTCTGTAGGTACCGAGGACAGCCAAGGGTCACTGTCACCCACAGTCACTCACCAGGAATACCTGCAGGCCCCCTGTGAGCTCTGGGCTCACATTTCCACCCAGAAAGCCCAGCAGCACCCCCACAGGGACCCCGAGGCAGACAAGGCAATGGCTGCCAGCCACATGCCCATCTCCACGTCAGACTCGCAGCTGAGGTGTTTTCAGCCCAGCCATGTCTCCTGGCTCTAAATGGGGCACGGAGTTGTTTGGTACTTACGCTTGTTTTTCTTCTCTAAGTCTTGGAACATTGCAGAACTAGACCTGGTGTCCCTGGCTGGTCTACCAGAGTGCACCACACCCCACGTCACCCCTCCAGCACTGCCACTGCCGAGATATCTTCACCAAGAAGGAAAACAAGTGTGTGTTGGCTGCACGCTGCCTCCAAGCACACACAGGCTGCCAGCGCCCAGGCCTGGGTCAACCGGCAGGAGCCGTTTAGGGAACTCTGAACAAAACAGAAAGTCGCAGCTCTGATCCTTGCTCAGGGCTGTGGCCACCACAAACCGGACAAATAAATAACACCAGGAGGAAGCACGAATCAAAGCCATCACCCCGGGGAGACGCAGCAGGGAGAGGTGGGAGCCGGGAGCCAGGTCTACAGCCCTGGGGCTGATCCGTGTCCAACACTCTTTCCCACACCCCTGGGGTCCTACCCCTGTTCCCATGCCAAGAGCTCAGTGGAACCCACTCAGTCTGCTGGCATCGGCGATGGCCGCTGGTGGGTGCAAGCGAGGCTGGCTGCTGAGTGAGGCCACTGCTTCTTTCTCATGCCTTAATCTTCAGCAGCCTGAGGACCCACCATCACCTCTGGCTGTGAAAGGCCTGCTGTGGATCTGCCCATGCTGTGGGTAGGAGAACGGAGGGAGGATGGTGTGGAGCCTTACCTGGGCCGCAGACAAGCTGCTGGGACTCACCAAGCCTCAGTTTTCCCACTTGCAACACAGGACTGTTTCCTGGCTCAAGGTCACAGCACGAAGGAGCAGCCCTGGGGAGCACTTACTCCTCCAGCAACCCCAAGTCAGTGCTCTCCCAGGGAGAGCTCAGCCCAGGCTCCCTCACCTGCTCGCCACAGGAGCACAAAGCCTCGTCCTGGCAAAGTGACACCTACCCCAGCTGCCCTGCCTGGTGGGCACGGGCATCCCGTTCCAGGGTGGCTGCCTCAGCTTTGGTCCCTTTTCCTTTTCTCTTCTTTAAGAATAAGTAGAAGGGGAAAAAAAATGATTCATTTGAAAAGTGAAGTGATGGAGACAGGAGAGACAGCAAAGAAGGAGGGAGCCCTTTCCCTTGTGGACTCACTCCCCAGACGGCGATGGGCCAGGCCTCAGACTCCTTGTTTGTCTCTCCCCATGGGTGCAGGGGCCCAAGTTACCGGGGCCCTCTCCTGCAGCTTCCCAGGCACATCAGCAGAGAGCCGGGTGGGAAGTGGAGCCAGGCCGCCAGCTTGCACCTGATGTGGGATGCCAGCACCCCCACCCCGCCTTGCCTGCTACATCCCATACATACTAGGGAACTCAGCGCCATGAAGTGAGGCAGATGATTAATGCTCAAACGGGGGAATCAGCTTCCCTTGTGCTGGGACCCTTCCCTGCCTCCCAGCTGGTGCTTCATAAAACACACCATAAATCTCGTAAACTGAGTCTCCCTGCACAAGATCCACCCCTAATCCCCATCTTGGGCTGGGCAGAGAGTCAGCCCCCCTGCCGGCCTGGCTGCCACTCCTGCCTGCAGCGCAGCTCTTCCTGCCTCCCCCAGCCCTGCCCTGCAGCCCCCGCCTCCCACCCGCGGCCGTGCTGAGCCCCACAGGAAACGGGGGCGTGGAGCCGGTCCGGGACACCTCCTTAAAGGCGAGGCAGCGGCGGCAAGACTGCGGTCCTGGCACCATGAAGTCCTGGTCGCTGCCGCTGCTGCTGCTACTGCTGGCTGGCCGGCCCGTGGCGCCCGCGCCCCCAACGTGTTACTCCCGCCTGCGGGCGCTCAGCAGTGAGCTCAGCCGCGACTTCCAGAGCCTGCAGGCCATGGAGCCCTTGGTGAGTCCCCGGTGGGCTCCTGGAGAGGGGGCTCGGGAGGGGAGGGCAGCAAGCCGCCTCGGTGTTCTTGTCCGGGCAAGTCTCACTGTCAGTGTTTCTGCTCCGCCATCAGCGTTCTAGTCTAAGAATGCCTGAAGACCTCTTGCAAGACGCAAAGAGAGGAGGAAAGGAAAGGGTTTCCTGCAGAAGCCTGGGCTTCCAAGCTCAGGGCTGCCTGAACTCCTTGCTGACCTCCTTCAGCTGTTGCTGCTGAGGCTGCTGAGATGCCCACAACCCTGCGCAGGTGTCACGGCCCTGGACCCCTGGTCATGGCCCTGGACCCCCGAGCGCTCTGGGAGTGAAAATGGGCACTGCACAGCAGCTGGTCACTGCCCATAGCGACTCCGTGGGGGAAGGAGCTCGGAGAGCTGCTGTGTGGAGAGCAAGGCCTCTGGTTTCCTCTCCATTATAGGAACCAGACACATTCATGGATGCCTCTGCTGAGATCTGCAGGTGGCCTTATGGCTTGTCTGTGCTCACACAAACACCGTGCCTCTCCAACCCTGGGGTGTGCGCGCTCTGCATTTTCTGCTTCAACGTTCAATAACGTGTATTTTCCTCTTGTTATAAAACTCATGCACTTGGTAGAATGGAAGGAAAATGTGCAGAGGACAAAGGAGAGAGTAGATATTGCCTGTGCCCCACGAGGCACAGCTGCTCCGACATTCCACGCCCACAGCATTTCTGCTTTTTGCTGGTGTGGGTGTGCGTGTATGTGTGTTGTACATGTATGTCTTCATGTGGGATGTGTGTGCATGTGTGTGAGTTTGCATGCATGTGTTAGGGGTGAGAAAAGTTGGATTGAAGGTGCAGTTTCCTAACCCACTTGTGGATAACACCAGCAGAATAGATTCACTGTGCATTATTGCATCATGGTTCATTCACATATTCCTTGCTAGCAAATGCACGTCTCGTAAAGGAACTCTGATCTGAAAAGAATAAAAGCAAGAGACTAAGAATGGCAAAGCTGAGGGCAAATGCAAATATTTGTTTGTTCAGGCCTCGGGTGTAGCGATGAAGGTGCCCCTTAGAATGCCACCTCCTGTATCAGGGGACGTGGGTTCAAGTCCCAGCTCCACTGCCAATTCAGAGCTTGGGCAGCAGAAGCTGACGGCTCGCATGGTTGGCTCCCTTGTCACCTGGATGGGAGTTCTGGTCTGCTGGCACTGTGGGCAGCAGGTGGAGCTCTCTGTCCCTTTGCCTCTCACATCAAGCAGTTGAAAAAAGAAGAGAAAAAACAGGGGAACATATCTTGCTTATCCTAACTCTTTGGGGAAACTGAGTCAGGAAGCGGGCAGGCCCCTGCTTTGGCTGACAAGGCTCAGACAGGCCTGCACTGACAGCGAAGTGAAATGGAACCTAGGGGAAGAGCTTCGCAGGACCAGGTCACCTCTAGAACTGTGCCTCAGGAGCGCTGCAGCCCGTGCGCCCATCACGCCGAGCAACGCACCTGCCCATGCGCCCATCACGCCAAGCGACGCACCTGTGCCTACAGGTGGTTTGCAGAACTGTTGTGTAACCACCCGTTACAGACCTGCTTCACACCTAGACGGTCTGTCTAGCAGCACGTGACCTGTAACCGTGTCCGTGGCTCAGAAAAGGCTTCTACGTGCCTGTATGTGTCCTCGCACTGAAAAGTGGTGTGAAGATTATGCTCGAAGCATCCCGTGCCAGGAACCCAGTCGCTCATTGTTTGGGAAGCAAGGGGGAGGGTAGTGACATAAGACATTGGGAAGTGCTCTGTGTGTGTGTGTGTGTGTGTGTGTGTGCGTGTGCCTGTGTGTGTGCGTGCGTGTGCCTGTGTGTGTGTTAGCATCAGGAAAGAGCCAGGACTGGCTAGCAGATGTGAGGGCTGCTGGGGAGCCGGGAGCCCCTGTGGCCAGCTGGGGTGTCCCTGTGGATAGCTCACCAAGCTGCAACTCCATTCCCAGGAGCCGTGTGTGAGATACTTGCCACCTCTGTACCACCTGGACATCCACGTGAGACGGCTCTGCCTGCCTGGGGATGGGGTGGAGGGAGGCAGTGTGGGGCTGCCCCCGCTCAGGGGTGGGGAAAGCAGACTCCCCTTATCCACCCCTAGAATCCCTTCCTACTTCCCTCTCTCTGGCTTCTCCTTCACCCTACCCCTCCCCTGTCCGCCCACCCCCAGAACTATTGTGTGCTGGCCTGGCTGCGTGAGTTTGTGGCCTCACCCCACTGCTGGCACGTGGCCCGGGTGGACGTCCTGAAGGACCAGGCTCGCAAGCTGTACACCATCATGAACTCATTCTGCAGGCGGGTACGTGGGCACCTTGGGCTGGGCAAAGAGCAGGGCAAGGGGAAGGGGAATGGGAGGGACAGAAAGATCTGGGAAAGACTTCAGTCTGCTTGTGAAGTTAAGCAGGGACCGCACCCCAAGACCCCAAGGCAGGCTCTGCTGGCAACCAAACAGGGCTGGTGGGAGATGGTACCCTGGGATACCTGGCAGAGGGGAGACAGCAGAGCCAGAAGCCCAGCCCAGGGTCCAGGTGGGAGATTGTCCTGTCATCTCCCAGACACCGACTCTAGCACCCGTCAGCCAGTCTGTCCACTTGTGAATGTGGAATGTAGCCATGTCCATTTGTGAGACCTCGGGAGTGTGACAGTGGGCACCGTGGAGACTGGCAGGTGCTGGGCAGAACTCCCTGTGCCCTCCTGGGCTGCACCAGCCCTTTCAACACACATCTCCTCTCCTCACTTCCCCTGGCCCCGGCTCCAGGGGCAGCAGGGACATGATGTTGGTGGAGTTCTGGCTGCCCGGGGATGGGACTAACACAAAAGTGTTTGCAGGCAGGGGTCAGGGCTCTCACTGTCTCCCTCATCTGCTCAGCCAGCTGTGAGGGGTTCAGGAAGGAATATCTGCAGCCAAGTGTGGGACCCTGTGGGAAGTGTGGGAGATAGATGGGGTGTATGGGCTGCCTCACACCGGGGCGGGGGCACCTGGGAGGTCTGCAGGCAGCTGAGAGTCCAGTGGGCCCCTCAGGCCCCTTCTGGAACCTTCCTTCCTGCTCATTGCGCATCCATTGCAGGACTTGGTGTTCCTGTCAGATGACTGCAGTGCCTTGGAGCACCCCAGCCCTGGCATCACTGGCCCACCGGGACATCTGACCAGAGAGGACTGAAGTCACAGCCACCACCCATCTGCAGCCACTGTCTTGTGGCCCACGTCTTGGACATCCCAGCAGTGAGGTGTTGCCCTGTTTGCTGGGAGGCAGTGCTGACGCCCCAGGAATAGCGAGAGCTGAGCCCAAGGGTGTCCTGCCAGGAGGGCCGTGTCCCCAGGCACAGGGATTCAGGGCATGCGAAGGGACAGCTCTCCGTGCACCAGCAGAGATCACTGGTGCGTCCTCCCTTACCCCGGTTCTGCACCCCCCCTACCCCAGACTCACCTCTCTCCCTCCCTTTTGTAGAGAAGCTTCTAGTGGCTTCTAGGATGTGTTTGCAAGTGTCTCCCCTAGTGCTCATGGGAACCAATCTTCTTTGAAAGATGATGAAAACCAAATAAAGCATAAGGTCATGGCAGCACCACCGGGCTTCCGGATGTGTCTCATACCATCCTGGAGGCGTAGCACTCAGCATGGTGTGTCCTTTCCAATGAGCTCCGGTGACTCTTGGGAGTCTCCACATGCCACCTGTGTGAAGGCTGCATGGAAAGCAGTTACAGATGTAGAGAGGGAGAGACAACAGTCTTTCACCTGCCGTCTCCCCAAATGGCCTCAATGACCAAGGATGGGTTGGCCAACCCCAGGAGCCACCCAGGTCTCCACTGGGTGCAGGGGCCCAAGCACTCAGATCATCTTCTGTTGTCTTCCCAGGCATGTTCAAAGGGAGCTGGAAGGGAAGTAGAACAGGGGAGATTCGAACTAGCGCCCATATGGGGTGCCGGTGTGGCAGGTGCCAGTGCGGCAGGTGGCAGCTTTCCCCACCAGGCCACAGCACCAGCCCTGTCCTTGTCTGATAGCCTCTGCATAGATCCTGTTTTCAAATCCAGTCCCATTCACAAGACAAGCAGTTAGGGCACCAACCATCTGTTTCGGAGACGTCATCAACTCAAGCACAACCTTCCAAGAAATGAGCCCTCCTCGGAGGAAACTCTGGCCAGCAGCTCTGCCAGGAGACCCTGGGTCTTTGTGGTGCTGCTAGGAGGAAGGGAGGCCAACCTGGCTGCTCTAGTGTGGCCAGCAGACCACTGCAGCCAGGGAATGCTTGATGCACTTGCCATCTGTTGGTCCAGTGCTTCTGTCTTTGCTGGGAGCTTGTGATGATGCCCTCCAGCCCAGTGTCCTCCTTGTGCCCTCCAAGCCTGCCCTCCGCCCGGGAGCCAGCATGAGCCTCCCAGAGCTCCAGCCTGCCTGCCCTGCTCTCTGCCAGACACCCAGCCTTGTTCTGTGAAGGTGTTCCTGCTCTGACCTTGGCCTGCCCTGGTCTTGCCCACCTCCTTTACCCCCACATATGCCATGCCCCCGGGTGAGCCGCCCAGTATTTCCTAAACACCACCATCCCTTCTGGCCTCCCACACCTTGCAAGCCTGCAGAGGGATGGGCACTGTGGTATAATGGGCATAGTGAGGCAGGGCACAGCTTAGGACACCAGCATCCTGTACCCAGTGCCAATTTGAGTTCCAGCTGCTCAGGTTCTGGTCCAGCTCCCTGCTAATGCACCTGAGGAGGCGGTGGTCTCTCCGAGCCTGGGGTGGAGACGTTCTCTTGCATTTTCTGCTTCAACATTCAACAACATGTATTTTCCTCTCGTTAACCAAAGCCATGTAGGGACAAAGGAGGAAGTCAGAATTGCCTGTGACTCTTGGCCCTCGAGAAGGACAGCGCAAGTGTTGGCTGGGAGACTAAAGCAAGTCTCCAGGGAGTCTGACCACTGCCGGGTGGGGTCTGCTCTTGCTTACCGCATGAGACCTGCCTTGGGCATACATGCAGCCTCGGGGCCCGGGTTGTGTTTTCAGGAATGGCTGAGTCTGAATTGGTTAATTTCAGTATTTGCTGCACACAGCAGATGCACACAAGGACACATGTATGTGCACACACGCCCATGCACGGACACACACACGCACACATGTATGTGCACACACGCCCATGCACGGACACACACGTGCACACGTGTGTGCACACACGCCCATGCACGGACACACATACACACATGTATGTGCGCACACGCACATGCACGGACACACATGCACACATGTATGTGCACACATGCCCATACACGGACACACATGGACACATGTATGTGCACACATGCCCATACACGGACGCACACGCACACATGTATGTGCGCACATGCCCATGCACGGACACACACACATGGACACATGTATGTGCACACACGTCCATGCACGGACACACACATGCACACGTGTGTGCACACACGCCCATGCACGGACACACATGGACACATGTATGTGCACACACGCCCATACACGGACACACATGGACACATGTATGTGCACACACGCCCATACACTGACACACATGGACACATGTATGTGCAAACACGTCCATACACGGACACACACATGCACACTTGTGGCTTTTCAGCTCCCCAGTGCACCAAGCTCTTCCGTAAAGCACAGCTGTCCGGCCCTCAGCCTGTGTCTGCCCAGCCCAGGTGCTCCTGCTGTCCCAGAGCCCGGCTGCCAAGTCAGCACACCCTTCACACTGGGGGGCGAGTTCAACCCGCTGAGAATAACTCCCCTCGCTTCAGGCCAGCTGGTTTGCCAAAGTGCTCAGGACACAAATACGCCTCCGCCGGTGCAGTCAACGTGTCTGCTGATGGTCAGGTGCTGCCAGCAGAGACAAGGGCAGGAAACTGCCCTGGCATGAAGTAGGCATCAGGCAGACGAAGGGCAAAGTGGAGGATACGGAGAGACAGTGCGGCAAGCGGCTGAGTGGTGAGAACAGAGGTGTGTGCTCCGTCCTGCAGAGGCAGTCCAGGAACCACCAGGGCATGTATCTAAGGTGTCAGCAGCCAGGTTCCCGAGATGCCCCTCCACTTGTTATTCTAGAGCTTTCTGGCTGGCAGCAGACAGGGAAACTTGCCCAGAAGTCACTGCTTTCTCTTCACTATGTCTACAGCACCGGCCCAAGCCAAGATGATATCAAGTTGCAAGTCAGCCTGGGTTGGTGTCACCATCTGCGCTGTGGGCACCCATCCTGTGGCCAGGACAGCTGCAGAGAACAGGACTGGGGGCTCACTCAGCCCGCAGCTGTGCTCGGCCGCTGTCTGTGGATGATGTTACGACCCAAGTGAACGGAGGGCGTTGCCATCCAGAGAGCTTCCTATCCAGTTGTCCTTTCGTTTTGATGTGGACATTGGAGAATGGTACATCTCGGCAGACGAGCTTAGGCTGCTGTAAGCACTGCCAGCATCCTGTGTGGGTGCCGGTTCAAATCCCTGCTGCTCCTGGGATGACCTGGGAACGCAGTGGAAGATGGCCATGATTGGAGCCTTGCCCCCATTGAGGAGGCAGGAAGGAAACTCCTACCGTCTAGCTTCAGCCTGGCCCAGCCCTCGCTCTGGTCACAACGTCGTAACTTGAGTGAACCGGCAGATGAAAGATCTCTTTCTGCCCTTCAAATAAGTAAATTTTTTTTAAAAAGATGACTATGTTTAAAATAAACATCAGCAAAAAACTATATGAAATGCGGGCCCGGCGCGGTGGCGCAAGTGGTTAAGTCCTCGCCTTGCACGCCCGGGATCCCATATGGGCGCCGGTTCTAATCCCGGCAGCCCCGCTTCCCTTCCAGCTCCCTGCCTGTGGCCTGGGAAAGCAGTTGAGGACGGCCCAAAGCTTTGGGACCCTGCACCCGCGTGGGAGACCCGGAAGAGGCTCCTGGCTTCGGATCGGCATAGTATCGGCCCGTTGCGGCTCACTTGGGGAGTGAATCATCGGATGGAAGATCTTCCTCTCTGTCTCTCCTCTCTGTATATCCGCCTTTCCAATGAAAAATAATAAAAATAAATCTTTAAATAAAAAAAAAAAAAAAAAAACTATATGAAATGCTTGGGAATAAATGTCATAAAGTACATGTATGACTCTTATGAAGAAAACTATAAAACTTTATTATAGGATATAAAATAATGTCCTGTGTAGAGAAAGACACCGTGGCTTCTCAGCCTCCAGTTTAGATGAAGTCCAAACCTTGAACATCTGGGAAGAATGTTCTCTTGCCACTCTGAGCTTGAAACTTACAGGAAAACGAAGGAAACCTTTCAAGAAGGGTGGGGTATCAGAGATGCTTTCTCTCCCACGGAGGTCTCTGTAAAGCTTTAAGACAACCTCGAACTTTAAACAAGTTGATACGGAGGTGGCAAGCAACCAGTGAAACAGACCAGAAGTGCCAGAACCACAGAAGGTCAATGAATTGCTGAGTACAAATGGCAAGTCCAGCAAGCCTTGCCTTCTAGAACATTCTGCCATGAGTTGTGCTGATGGACAACCGGGGGAGAGACAATGAAGCAATTTTTCTGAAAAGTCAGCTGGAGCTAGCCCTCAGCCTTTCCAAGTTACCATAGCAGTTAGTGTTACTACCCTGCAAAGAAAATCAGTCCAGATGTAGGTTTCATTGTGACACTTTTACCAGGAGCTGCAACACCAGGGAACTGATTGGAAAACCCCTTCCCAGGAGCCTCTGCTGGGGCCACATGGTGGAGGGGCCGGGCAGGAGGGTGTTCATGATGCCTGCTGGTGCTGCCGAGCCCCTGGCCAGCAAGTCCTCCCCACAGGCACCCCTGTACCTGCACAGGCGCCAGCAGCCCTTCTCGGGGTCACACGGCCCCTGAAGTCGCTGATCAGCCTCTTGCAGTGGCAGCCTGGCTTGGGGATGTGGCCTTTGAGCCACAGAATGGGGTCGGGAGCATGGAGAGCGTAGCTGATGTCAGACGCTCAGGCTCCCTGTGTGTCTCTGGCTGCAGGCGGCATGTCCCGTGCAGCCCTGCTCTGCAAGAGGAAGAAGCAACAGCGGGGGTCTCCCAGCATCAGCCTGAACTGATGTCACTGCTTGGCTTTTCCGGAACATTCTCTAGTGTGGGGTGCCCAGGAAGACCTCTGGACTCAGGGCCACATCTTTGTGCTTGAAAACAGCCCTGAGAGGCATTCAGAGCAAGGTGGACTTCTCTCACCTTCAAGAAAAGGGAAGGAGCTCTGGGAAGGTGCCAGGATTCACCTACAAACGTGGCAGGGGTGAGGGGTCAGCGTCAGGCTCACACCTGCTCAGCCACACACACTGCAGGCTTGGTGGCATGCAAGGCTTTGCCAATGGCCCCTGGGTCCTTGGTTTCCATGTTTCCAAGCACGGGTTGACAGAGGGGCACAGAGGACCCTGGTTTGGGGGACATAGGAGCAAAGGTCACCTCCTTGTATTGGGGGTGGGGAGCTGTCCAGAATGGAGCCAGCCCAGCACGATGCTCACGCGTCCGCTCGGCAGGAGACAGGAAGAAGCCGTCGGTTGTGTCGGGCCCTGCAGGGCTGTGTGTGGGTGTGGGTGCAGGGAGGTG